GGTGGTTTGGGCATCTGGTCAGGATGCCTCCTGGACGCCTCCCCGGGGAGGTGTTTCGGGCATGTCCTTCCGGCAGAAGGCCCCCGGGTCGACCCAGGACACGTTGGAGAGGTTACATCTCCAATCTGGTCCGGGAACGCCTTGGGGTCCTGCCGGAGGAGCTGGTGGACAAGGCCGGGGAGAGGACGGCCTGGAGCTCCCTAGTTGGGATGCTGCCCCCGCGACCCGGACCCGGATAAGCGGAGGAAGACGACGACAACGAGTTTTAAGACTATTTTTAGGAATTGTCCTGATTGTGTCCTTGATTGTGATGTCCGGATGGGAAAATTTGCATAGAACCCCCTCTCTACTCTCCAGGGTCAAGGAGCAGTGGCTGTACTCCAAGCCCCTCATGGGTACATTGCATCTCAGGTCATAGCAGCCTGAGTGAGAGATGGGGGTGTGGCCAGCTTCAGCTTGTGTTCTTAACTCATTCACTGCCAATCGTTTTCTGAACAGAAAACCCCTGACTGCCTTCATTTTTTAGCATTTGTCATGCTGACCTGGCAGAGGTGACTCTGTCAACTGTCTCCTCCTCATGCTGACTCTGCTGCACAGTGTCTGCGCATGAGCTGTGCATGCAATTTTCACACTGGCCAGAGGGGGCTTGTGAACTCTGGTGTGTGCTCCTCCAGGTGAGCCAAATCAGGCAATCAAGAGCTCACCACTAGAGGCTTCTTGGTGCATACAGCAGTCATTCAACCAGTGTGTGACAAACAAGCAAACAATTCAGCTGTGAGGAGGACTTTGATCTTGACAGGCTATCGGTTTTCACCTGATACTGAGACTGATGATCCTGAAACTGGTCAAATAAAGACATATCTGAGTGAAGCCAAAGTCTAGTCTTTTCAAGTGTAGACACCTCACAGAAAGAAGAAACACTTGACAGTGAAAACCGCCCCGGCCAGTGGGAAATCGGCCCTGACCAGTGAAGACTCCACCAAAGCCCACCACAAAGAGGGAGAAGACTCCATCTGGGGGCTTGGAGGGAACCGTTTACCTGCCATCTGTCAACCCAACAACAAACAAAGCAACATGGCTGAGTCAAAGTCGCTTGAGGAACTGAAAGTAGAACAAACCACAGCAAAAAGACTTTTCTCCAGACTTACCAACCAAATAACAAGGACCCACATGGAAATGTCTGCAGAGGAGCTACAGGATGCCTTCAAGAAGCTCACAGTAGAGAGCTCCAAAGTGATGGCTATGAATGAGGAGCTTGAGGCTGCTTACATCGCAGAGTGTGAAGATGAAGGTACACATGAGTTGAGCAACCAGCAAAGAGCTGACCCTCGAGAAGACTGAGAAAGAATGTGAGCTCAAGTTAAAGGAGGCAAAGCACCTGATCAGAGAGACATTATGGATCTCATTTGGTGAGAGAGAACTAACACTCGCCCTAAAAATTGCAGAAGTAGAGGTTGAGAATGTCTCCTCCACTCAGCCTGACACACCAGTGGAGGCATATGATTTTATGCTTCTTCATCTAGAAGACCTGGTGCACAAAGCAAATGAAGCACACCAGTCATGGAACTGTTGGGCTCCTACTCCTGAGAGGCGATACTTTGATCGTCGATTAACTGAGCTCGAGAAATCCCTTCCAAAGCTGGTGTCAAAGAAAGCTGCCCTGATCAGAGAAGAAAAAATTAAAAGGGACTCCATCCAAGCACCTGTCACTCTCCACAGCACAGCCCCTGTTGCAGCCATAAAACTGAAAGCCACAGCTCTACCAAAGTTCACTGGTAACCAGCGTGATTTCTACCGCTGGAGAAAGGAATGGGAGGCTTTTCAAAGACAAGGCGAACCGACCGGGTCTGTAGAGGTGAAGAAGTTCCAACTACTTGATAGCCTCGACGAGAGAATTGCCAGAGATCTGCGTCTATCTACATACCCATCAACAGATGAGATCTTCAGAGTCCTCGAGAACTGTTACGGGAATCAAGCCACCATTGCAGTCAAGATCATCGAAGAGCTACAAGCTATCCCTGCTGTTCGTAGTAACCAGCCAAGAAGAATCATCGAGCTAATCCAAGCAGTTGAAAAGGCCCTCTATGATTTGAACGGACTAAATAAAGCAGATGGAATAAAGAACCTGTTAGTAATAAAGTCTATTGAAAGCAAATTACCGGAGTCTCTGAAGAAAGACTGGCTTACCCATGCTGCTGACCCAAAGCATGCTGTTACTCATAAGAACCAGTTTGGCAAGCTACTTGCATACCTCCAATCTCAAGAATCCATCTATGAGCAGTTGGATCAGCTAAGAGACATAGACCCTGCCAAGGAGAAAATAAAGTTCCCAACAAAGTATGCCCGCACAAAGACTGTTAAATCCCTAAGTGACCCAGCAGGGTGCATCATCTGTGGCAACCCAAAGCACAAGAGAAAACTGTACATCTGCAGAAGGTTTAGAACTACCACAAAGCTACAGGAGAAAAAGAATGCAGTGCAGCAGCTCGGAGCCTGCAAGAAGTGCCTGAGATCCACAACGAACCATGCAGAAATATAACCTACCTGCGTAGAAATCCAGAGTGCAAAGACCAGCATCATTACCTTCTCTGCCCTTTGCCAAGACCCTCATCACAAAGACCCAAACCTGTTCCAGGGAGAGCTGAGGGGAAGAGGTACACAGAGGTCCAAGAAGAGTTCCTCTCCAAATTATCACCAGAGCTAGCCCAGCAGTGTCGTGAGGCTTTCAGCAACGTCGCCTCACGAGCCTTCAGCTCTCTGGCTGCAGAGAAAGTCCTTTTGGAGGAGTCTGGTCTAAAAGAGTACCCTGTGATCCTGATGCTACTTGACGTCACCACCAACGATGGACAGAGAATCGAGACGTTAATTGATCTGGCATCTGACACAAACTACATAACCCAAAAAGCTGCAAGCAACCTCAACCTTCGTGGTGAAGATGTCACACTGGTTGTCCATGGTGTTGGAGGGATGAAGGTATCAGTAGCAACCAAGCATTACCTTCTCAAGATTCGTGTCATATAACTGATATATACCCATATAACTGATGGGTGGGAATGATTGCTTCTCTAAAATGAATGTGAATTCCCTTTCTTGGCAGCAGAATGCACCAAATGAAATCCTGCCAAAAATGTCTGCTTTGTTAAAAAAGCTCATTCTCGCTGATGATCATTTAATCAAGTTGTTTTGATTAGCAGCACCTGGTTGCTGCCTTAATCTTATGAAAATGGTGAAAGTGTGATCAGTGTTTTTACACCTTGCTTTTGCATTTTGGCTCAGGTTTTTGTAAAGTATCGTAGAAGGTGTAAATGGCCTTTGATTATTTTTCATCTATGTATTTACTGATTTTTCTCTATTGGAAATGAACTTAAGACACTGGCTTGTGAATGTTGTGTTTTTACAAAGTCCGTAGAATTAGGCATTTAGAGATTAAGCTCACAAAAGGGAATAGATCAATTTTACGTCTTATTGTGTCCTAATGTTTTTTTACAGTTAAACAGTGATGCTTCTCTTTTGGTTTTAAAGATCTCCAATGATCTCACAGCTGTAGACCTGTTCTCTGCATCCTGGTGTGTAGTGCTGTGATTAGGATGGCTCAGGACAGATTAGTTAATTATAGAGACCTGCTGCCTAAGCGTGGTCTTGCATTGTCAGGTGTTGCAACATGAGGTGAGTTTGTTGCAAAGCAGAGGAGAGGCGGAGCAACTAGCATGGCAGACGCTGGACAAATGTTTTGCCATGTGCTCTTTGCTTGACTTTTCACTTGGTGACTGAAATCTTCTCACTTGGTGATCTGTGTATATATATAAATATATATATATATATATATATATATATATATATATATATATATATATATATATATATATATATATATATATATGTGTGTGTGTGTGTGTGTGTGTGTGTGTGTGTGTGTGTGTGTGCGTGTGTGTTTTCTGCATCTAGCTAGTCAGAAAGTAATACATTTTTGGAAGATATAGGGTAAAAAAATGTCCAAGAAAGCAAATGCATCTGGTAATAAAGCCAATGCTAATTCAGTGGCATCTTTGCAAGGCCATTGCCAATCGATGCAGCATTATATGAGAGCAAAAAGATGCCATGGTCACCTACAAGCAGAAAGGGCATATTCAGCTGAACTGAACAGATGTGACTGCTAATGCAGACTCACATGAGCTGCAGCATCTGTTGAAACAACTAAGGGTGTACTCTTCTGAGCTGGAGTCATTGAATATATTTTTTTCTCAGCCAAGAGCAGCTCAAAAAGCACACAGCTCTAAGAAATATAGTTTAATTTACTGTTGATCAAGCTGTTAAGCTAAAAAATACTTCATGACTTTTTGCATATTCAAAACATGAAGCAGAAAGAATCACTTCTATCTTTAATTCTTTCACTTTGATAGCAAACATTCATTCTGCCAAACGGACTTCCCTTGAAGACTTGCCTTAATTAATTTGAACTACAAGTGTTCAAATCACTTTTTTATTTAGAGCCTGACATTCGGTTCCTTAAATCATTGATAACACATTTTGTGCTAATATGGCATCACAAATAAATCAGTTGGCACAAATCTCATTAAAACTTTTTTTTTGCTCCATTTTAATCTCGTTAGTTCAGATAAATAATCATAATTGATCTGCCTAAAACCATTTTTACTTGGCATAGATGTTCACCAGGAAGAACAAAATCCGCCCTCCTCATATCAAGCACCCTAGCATGCATTCTGTAATGGATTATATTTAATGTCTTGTAAGTTTAGGAGTTTTTACCATTAGAGAGATAAACTGACAGCAGTTTAACATGTATTTGCATTGCACTGATAAATCACAACAATACATAAATAAATGCAACCTTTATTCTGAAAGGGAAATAAACAAAATCAAGAAAAGTTGCCAACAGGGATTTCTACTCCTTTTTCTAATCCCAGCAGATTGACTCCACCCTTCCTGTCTGGGAGCCTTCAGTCACACCTTCGCTCAGTCACTTTAGCTCTCCACACCTTTTTGCAGCTGAAAGATTAGGCATCTGTGACTGGGATTGTGGATATACAGCAACAGTTGAAGAGGAACTGATCTGGACATAATTAAGAAACGAAAGGATTAAGATTTTCTTTGGTTGTTTACTCCTGTACAAACCATGGCTTTGTTAATTTTCTCACCGAGTGCACTGGGTGTGTGATATCTCGTTGCAATTGCATTTTCAGTCCCCAGTAATATACATCTGGTAAGTGTTATTAGCAGCATGTTTTAATGTGTTTTTCATGTGCAAAATACAGATGTTAAAGTTCTAAAAGAATGACTTTTAATCAGTGGTGCAATAAAAGCTTTGGTCTGTATGCATGTTGTAAAAGTCTAGTTTTCCATACATACTCATTGTGTGGCATGTGTGATGAATAACAAAAGTTCTTTTTAAATTGCTTTCAAACACAGCACAACTACTCCATTGCCTTCTGCCCTTTGAACCCACAAATTCACCCTCTAATCCTAATTCTTTGCTAGAATAACTTATGTTTGGTCAATAGGTGATGACGATTGATGCAAAATTGCTGCAAAAAAGAAAGATAAAACAGCTTGCCTGTGCGAAACGTTGCACGTCTTGCAGGCTAATCCTACCACTAAATCTACATGGTTTTAGCTAGTGTTTCTAGAGCTTTTTTTAATCCCAGTCTGCCCAAAAAAAAAAAAAAAAAAAAAACAGAACATCTTTCATATGAGTCAATTTAGCAATGCCCTTCATTTTCATGCAGGTGATGGTGACACCTTGACTTTTCCTTAGAGGTCCCTGTTTTGTTACGTAACTCAATCGCCTGTGTACTGAATGGTCTAATTTTATCCTTGTTAAACAGCTTAAGCCCCATTAAGGCCAGAGCACAGTGTATCAGACAGGCTTCATTGACTTGGCAGTTGATCTGTCCTCAGCCCCTAGGTTATCTGTATACTTTCTATTGTAAATTCAATCCAAATTCTGACATATCAAATACTTTGTGGAGTGTTTGATTAAATGTTCTGTATAATTTTATACAAGTACGTGATTTAACTAAGACTTTGTTTCTGCTGTTAGCCCAGTTAAATTCTCCTGGTTCTTCTTCTGCAGGAAAGTACTCTAATTGAGGCAGAGTTCCTTAAATCCACAGTCTTTCCTAAAAGAGAGAATTTTTATTCCGTAGATTTTTGTTGCTGAGTTTGATGTCACTGAGGTCAAGATCGTTAGGGTTGCCATAGGTCTTTGTGGTTATGTAACGTTGTACGTCTGTGTTCTGCAGAGATTTAAAGGCCGCCGAGGAGAACGCTGATCTTTAGTCAAAGAGGCTTTCATTTAGAACACAACAAACCTGAGCTTCTTGTTGCTTTAGAAGCTCAGCGAGGCCTCTGTTCAAGAGATAGTGGGATGGATTCATTTACATGAGGAATTACCAAGCTTTGAGAACGCTACCGCAAACCCTCATTCTTAGCCTGGCAAGTCATTCTATATATTTGAAATATATTCTGGTCACGAACCATTGAAAGAGTGCAATCATGGGAGCGCAATCTACGGTTGTCTTGCAAACTGTCTCTGCACACATTTAAATAGCAATAGGACCAACCAGAGCAAAGAACAATGAGATGTAGTCATTGCTATATGTCAGTAAATAGGACAGACCATATACACCATTGAAGAAGCAAACACATGCGTTTTCAAAATAAAAGACTTAAGTGCCTCCATCTGCTAATGCCTCAAAGAAAAGCAAAAGTTCAAATCCAAAATTGATGCCAAAGTGGTTCCAAACAAGCATTGTTCTTGAGCCGACACAATTTTTGTTGTTTTTCTCCATTGCAGTGCAAACCCTGCCCAGTGAATGCAGAATGTTGTTTTTGGCCAGACAGAAAACTGTTTGGGCCAATAGTGGATCTGCTGAGGCTTCAATGAAGCATGACTAGCTCGACCTGCAGAGCAAAATCTTTTGCTACTGCTACAATTAGTCTAGATAACGTCATTCTGCAAACTGCCACAGATCATACAACATCTTGAGGGGCTTAGATTTACGTTGCGGTGGTAATATAGAATTGAGAATTCTCTGCACAGATTAGGATTCATTTACATGCAAACGGTTTCAGATTTGGCCAGTGACAGCAGAACTAATGACATGGACATGAATATAAACGAGGAATGTTGAATATAATCCATAAACCTTTGCTCGTTTTTAAGTTGTGCAATTAAACAAAAAAGTATTGCAAAATATATAAAACTTGTGTTCATCAGACAGTGACCTCCAGCTTTTGCTGGAGCAGTTCGCAGCCGAGTGTGAAGCAGCTGGGATGAGAATCAACTCCTCTAAATCCAAGACCATTGTCTTGAGGCAGAAAAGAATAGAATGCCTTCTCCAGGTCAGGGATGAGCTCTTGTCCCAAGTGGAGGCGTTTAAGTATCTCAGGGTCTTGTTCATGAGTGAGGGAAAGATTGGTGCTGTGTCTGCAGTAATGCGGGTGTTGTATCGCTCTGTCGTGGTGAAAAGCGAGCTGAGCTGGAAGGCAAGGCTCTCGATTTACTGACCTGTGGTCACAAGTTATGAGTAGTGACCGAAAGAACAAGATCGCAAATATAAGCAGCTGAAATTAGTTTTCTCCGCAGGGTGTCTGCCTTAAGAATGCAGATGTGATTGAGCACGAGTAGTCTGTGGTCTGTGATGTCATGAGCACATCTCTGAGCCCGTGGATATGGCAAAAGAGCGCAGAGAAGGGTTAACATTATTAAACAAGGCAGCCTGAGTCTTGCTTTTGGAGACTCTCTGACATCCTGCTTTGTTGTCTGGCAGCACTGTGTGTGTGTGTGTGTGTGTGTGTGTGTGTGTGTGTGTGTGTGTGTGTGTGTGTGTGTGTGTGTGTGTCCTCACAGCAGTGAGGAACAGAGAAAAAGGGCTTCAGTCAGAGCCTCATTAACTCCACAGCATCCAGAACGATCATGAATCACGCATGTGGGAAGTTCCTGCGGGCTGATTCTATCTTCCAGTTGGAGTCTCCCTCTATTGGTACGCGTGAATCAGCCGGCAGTGGTTGTGTCTACCTTGTTCGGCTCCAGGTAGACCGCCTCGGGAAGAGGGTTGAAAAGGCTTCCGGTTGTGCGCTAGAAAATCCAAGACTACCTAAATAAACAACACTCCCAACCCGATCCAGGCGGAGTGGAGCCAATGCTAGTGTGTAAGTGCCACATGACATACAAGAAATTAGCCTGGGGTTGAACCAGTAATCTAACGATTACAAGACAAACTTCTACCTAACAGCCTCCTGCTGTCAGATTCATACATCTCCAACAGCTCGGGTGTGGAATCGCGCACATGCATTGACGGAGATGTTTTCTCTTTGGACTTTCCTGTTGCAAAGCAACTCCCAGCCAGGACACCAGAAGGAGTAATGCTTTTCTGGAAGGCACTACCACCATTGCGCTTGCTTTTTGAGGGGGATAGTGGGGCTGCTAATGAATTATGAAAGTGTCTTCCTGACCAATCACATGCTTGCTCTTTTCATTGCTTTCAATGGACTGTTAAAAAATTGGGCGTGTCTCTGTCACCCTATGCGGGCCGGCTGCAGAGCCTTTGCGTTGATGCTTCATGGCATTGTGCCTCTCCGCTCCCACATAGACAGAGAAGCATAAATCAAGCGTGAGTGGAACCAGAAGGCTGTTGTTTGAAGCAACAGAAAAACACAGAAACTATCAAAAGTTGAATGAAAAACAGACTACAATGAGAAAACACAGCATTCATTAAAACCCCTGGAAAAAATGTACATTCACATCCTCTGCTGAAGGCCCAGTGTGACATGCTGCTGACTGACCTTCCACAACCTCAATGACAGTTAATTATTCTCATGACTTTCCACTAACTCACATTGACTTTTAGGCTTGACCAAAGCTGGCAGGCCCGCTGCTGTGAAATGTACCCTTCTATCCTCCAATCTTTCATTTTTTTTATTGTATGACTATTATGGCTTCAAGAAGATGTAATATAAAAAAAAAATGCTCAAAATTAATTTACTGAGGCACATGTTGTAGTGTTGTGATGTGTAGTCAAAGGAGGATTCAAATGTCCAACCAAAAAGGCCAAAAGCTATGCTGAGATTAAATATCCAGGTAAACCAAGAAGGACTGACAAAAAGTGACAAAACCACAAAGTTTGTAAAAGTTCAAATGTGGTTTAGTGCGATTCAACAAGAAACAGAAAAGGTCACAAAACAATGAGGGACTAGATCAGGGACGATGAGAACAACTAGAAACGGAAACAAACACAAGTTAAATTCTTCACAAAGCAGAATGACCTGAAATACCTTAAACCTACTGAGCATAACTACCTATGTAATTATTACAGTTACTTATGAGAATCAACTCTTCTCTCTTTACAGTTTTTCAGTTCCAGCAAAATGCAGAAGCAAGTGGAAGTCAGGATGAGCGAGAGCCACATCGAACCAATCGTGGAGACTCCTGAGAATCCCTGTAACACTTTCTGTGAAAAGATAATGAAGAACATGGTCCTTACACTCACAATCCTAGGTAAGTTTATATAGTCCTGCTGCATGCATCAGTACACACACATTCCATTTATCTTCAGTCCCCACACTTCCTGTTCACAGGCTCTCTAGGGTTAGAAGCACATTTAAAACACTACACTGGCTTGACATGAACTGGGTCACCAGATAAGTGGACAAGAGCAGGTGCACGGATGAAACGCTTGAGTGACGAGTGAGAGTTCCCAGCAGGCTTTAAAATCTGCATAGGAAGTCACAGGGATGCTCAAATCCCACTAGATAGAAGACTGATGTATTAAAGTTTTATTATAATAATCTAATCTGTTTATATGTCATTATTCAGGCCAATTCAAGAAAACTTATTTGGTGCTTTTTCTTTTTTTGCAATTTATTTTCATAAAGTACTGCTGTAAAAAAGTACTTCTGAAGAACCTTCATGTTTCATGTTCCTGCAAAAGTTTTGAAACACTTCACACTTTTTCTTGTGGTCTTCAGAGATTCTCTGAAAATGTGATCTTATGGAATAAAGTAAATAATGTTTTGTTGTGAAACAACAAAACAAAAATGAACAAAACACAATGCGATGCTCGTCCAGCATTTAAACCCACCGGCGACGTCAGGTGAGCGCCATGTGTTTCCTATCATGCATTGCATGTGCAATCAGTGGAGAGCAAGTGCTGCACCTGGCTCCCAAAATCGGAGCAGCTGCGTGTCTTTGGGCTGTAAGAGGAACTTGGAACATCAGAGGAAAAATCCACCCACACATAAAAAATAAAAAAAACTGTAGCTCAACAGAGAGCAACTTCAGCCTTTTATGTATTGGACCATCTTGTATTATGATCCACTGTCTGTGCTGCATTGTGCTAATATGTCTACAAAATCTCCTAAAAGGTAAACTGGATTTGCAGCACTGGCCAGGAATTATCTGACATATAATAAAGCTTTGTTTCTGCCCCATCTGTAATAAATGGTGTTCTTCTATTTAAAACCTGCCCACAGGTGCAGCCTGATTGAGTAGAAAACTGCAGTCCAGTTACTTAGTTGGCATGATTCATTTAGCAGCTATATTTGAGTTTTTTTTTTTTACAAGTACAATATTTATAGGAATAAGAGCTCACTCAGAACAGATATGATGTAGGAGAAATTCAAATGAGCTTGGTGTGAGATTCTACTGCTCGCAGCAAAAGTGTTGACATATATATATTTTTTGGAGCACGTGTGCATGGAAGCACTGAAATGTTTTACTTCACTGCTCAGAGTCACCTGGTTTTGTGTTTATTATGTGCGTTCTCAATTTGACAGGTGTGTTTCTTGGTTCCATTGCCGGAATGCTCTTGCGGCACATATCACCTCTCCCTGCTGACGTTATAATGATCATTGCCTTCCCTGGGGAGATCTTAATGAGGATGCTGAAAATGCTTATTTTACCTCTTGTGGTTTCCAGTCTGGTTACAGGTGGGTGAGCTACAATATCTGTGCTGCATCAATGTTCTGCTGAATTTGCTAATGACTGGCCTGAAATGAGGTTGCACAGCGTGTGTTGTTAGCTGGAAGTTGAGTTGAAACAGTAAAACTGTGTGTATTATCATGGAGTCAAACTGAAAAGTGTGTTATAAAATTCTATCTTGGTTCCTAGTTTGAACAATTTCGTGATATGAACAAGTTTGTGATATGAACAGATCTTTTTCCTTGGTGAAAATGTTTTTCTTTTAAAACATCAACTTTACAGAACTAAACTATTGTCGCAAATCATTACAGATTACAGCTCACAGATTCAAACATTTGTTCAAACCTGAGAAAATATCTCACAAATACATATTTGCATAAACAGAATAATTTCTCATTTATGGACTTTAGCTTTTTGTACTTTAAGAGGTCATCCTGGTCAACTTAGACCTGTTATGTTTCCACCGAAAATTTTAATTTCCACTTATAATTAAAGATTTGAAGTGTTCAGTGACCGTGTTTGTGTTCAAAACCTAGCTTAGCAGGTTTGCCATAACAGCTTTAAGCCTTAGAACATGCAAACAATGACCGTTACCCCTCCACAACTTTTCACATGCACCTAACCCCACCACCAAACACCAATAATCTGTAATGTTATCAGTCCATGGGGCTCTTTCTCGTTGAATCTCCTCCTTCAACCAGTCAGTCTATCAGTGGTTTTAATTCCAGTGAATTGTTGATAGGGGCACAGATAAACTCCAATCATGACAACGATTCATTAGCTTCAGTTACCTTGATTTTATATCTCAAAAAGCAGAGAAAGAGACACAGAACTGAACTCTGGCACTAGTAATAATCATTCCGAAGTAACTACTTTAACTTCTGTGTACATTTTAATACCCAAGGCTAGTCTCCTCCCACTCAGTGTACAGGGCACCCATCCCACAGATCAGTTTCGGACGATGAGAGATTGACAGCAGCCAGGTCTCATAGATAACAAGCCATGCTTTAATTAAGTGTTTGCAAGTAATCTGACACGCTTGTGGCAAAGCAGACAAACAGCCCTGACATTATTTGAACAGATGGGCAGACATTCTAATGGCACGATTAAAGATGTAAGCTAGGTGAATGTGACACAAGTCAGCATTATGTAATTACATTAATTATCTAACAATTCTTAACTTCTGTGTCTTCTACTATATGCATTACTTTACTAGCAATAAGTGAAAAGTCTATGAAGTTTAGAAATAATAGATTAGATGTTTTTCTAGTTTTTCCCCTACAGAGATTTCAGACTTACTGAACTCTATTGCCAACAGGACTTGCCGGTTTGGACGCCAAATCGAGTGGTCGCTTGGGCTCCAGAGCAATGGTGTACTACATGTCAACAACAGTCATCGCCGCTGTCCTGGGAGTAATCCTTGTGCTGCTTATCCATCCTGGGAATCCTAAACTGAGGGCTAACCTCGGAATAGGAAAGAAGAATGACGAAGTTTCCAGCGTTGACGCTTTGTTTGACCTCATTCGAAACCTTTTCCCGGAGAATCTGGTACAGGCCTGCTTCCAGCAGGTAGGCGTCTTAAGAGGATTTTCACACCCCATATAATGAAAAATGTCAATTGCGCCAACGTTTTATTTTTCTCTTTTGTGTGTACATGTTTGCTTCTTGCCCAGATTCAGACAGTAACAACTAAAGTACCAGTACCAACCAACAGGACTAGAGCACCTCCGCAGTTCACAGTTAAGAGGTCGCTGCAGTTCAAAAGTGGGATGAATGTCCTGGGTAGGTGGAAATTTAAACACAAACCCACAGAATGTCTGAGATAGGCTGCTGTTAGAAAAGGAAACTAACTGACTTTCCACATTGATTGTATAATACCAAGTAAAGATATATTTTCTTGAAGATTTAGTTGTAATATGTGTATCCATGATGTATTTTTTTTTATAGAACACCAAACTAATTTCCATAAACATATTCAAAGGTTCAATTTATCGTATTTCATGATGATAATTTCCTGTTTGACATCGCTAAATGATGTAAACGTAACGCCGTGTGCTGGTATGCTTTATCTAATGAAAATTGATTTGCCTGAATAAAACTGTAATGAAAATAATGCATAAGCAGTCCCCTTTTCAAAAGAACTTCTTTTTCATACTAAATTAGTCTTTTTTTATTTTGTGCTGAACAGGTTTGATTGGATTTTTTGTGAGTTTCGGAGTCATTATGGGGAAAATGGGAGAGAAGGCCAAGCTAATGTTGGAGTTTTTCAACGTTCTGAATGAGATTATTATGAAGATTGTGAGCGCAATTATGTGGTGAGTGGATTTGGGCTCCATTGGATGGATATTTGCTGTGTTCAGAAAAAGAAACGTAATTTTATAACAAGACCCTTGTGTATGTCTTCAGGTATTCTCCTGTCGGTATTGCCTGCCTTATCTGTGGAAAGATCATCTCCATTGCTGACTTGGAGATGGTTGCAAAGCAGTTGGGGATGTACATGGTGACTGTGATAGTAGGCCTCATCATTCATGGAGGAATTTTCCTTCCACTAATCTATTTTGTGATAGTAAGGAAAAATCCCTTCACGTTCTTTATGGGAATATTCCAGGCTTGGGTCACGGCTCTTGGAACAGCATCCAGGTATGATAGGATTTGGTTTCCATTTGATGTATCTGATGTCTTTATGGCTTTTGTGAACTTACAGTGTTTCTCCAGAACATATGTTGGAATAGAAATGTTCAAAGACTTGCAGAAAGCCCTGAAAATGATTAGAACCTAAATAAATCATTAAGAAATTGGTCTCCCAGAGCAACAGCATAATTGCCATCATGTGAAATATTTTTACCATCATTTTAAAACCTGAAACAGTAAAGCTTCTTTCTCATTTCATTGACATTTTATACTAGATGTGATGGTTTTATAGCCTGGCAAGCCATCCCAGATATGTGAATATACAGTCTGGCCACAACCCATAGACAGAGCAACAACAAAAGTGACGTACTTACCACTATGGATGTCAGTCAATGGACCAGTCTGCCATATACTCTCAAATACATAATTCTAAATGAAAGATTTACATACCTCGATCTGCTTCTGACTCAAAGAAAAGCCCAAGTCTAAATAGTCCAAAGTTGATGCCAAAGCCATTTCAAACAAGCCATCGCCATCTTTGTGATTTTGCTGAATCACAATACCATCCCACCCACCAGACTGATAAAGCTCTGTGATGGGTAAAACACAAAACTTTTCAGTCCAATGGTAGAGGTTAAAATGGAGCTTGGCCAGACCGACCTGCAGAGCAAAATCATTTGTGCTTCTGCCACACTCCGTCTAGATTTCAAGGCTAATGGTTTTAACTGAATAAACTATTTTTTACCTACAAGGTAGCTCAAACAATATGAAGAGAAATTAGTGTATACCATGGTCAAGTCAATATCTATTAGTCTAAAATTTATTAGTAACCAAATACATGTTTTTCAAAATTTTTGTGACAAATTTGGTCTGCAGTTTGCAGCTTGAATCAGTCTATGAAACTATGTATATATATATATATATATATATATATATATATATATATATATATATATATATATATATATATATATATATATATACATATATATATATACATATATATATACATATATATATATATATATACACATATATATATACACATATATATATACATATATACATATATATATATATATATATATATATATATATATATATATATATATATATATATATATATATATATATATATACATACACACACATTTGTGACTGACTGTTATCCTTAAGCAAAACATATTTTATTTTATGCAAAATATATTTTATTTTGTTCTCCATAGTGCCGGTACATTGCCTGTGACATTCAGGTGCTTGGAGGACAACCTGGGCATTGACAAGAGAGTCACTCGCTTCGTCCTCCCTGTTGGTGCTACCATCAACATGGATGGCACAGCCCTCTACGAGGCTGTGGCTGCCATCTTCATTGCTCAGATGAATGGGATTGAGCTGGATTGGGGCCAGATAGTCACTGTCAGGTGAGAATGCGGTAACAGAAAGATGTTTCATTGTACAGGATGCTAACCGTTTGCCAATAGAGCCACTCTAAAATGAGATTTCTGTTTCTCAGAGCTAAAGATCATTTTGAAATGTATTTTCCCCTCAAAAAATGGCTTCACAAGGATAAGGTTAAACAACTGAAAGGGTTCACAACAGACACCTTGTTGAAAATTAGAACAAACTCAGTTTAGAGAAACAGAGTTTAGTTTGATTGGATTGATGAACTAACAGCTAGAAGCACAATCAAGACCAAAGTGAATGTTCCTGTGAATACTCTTAGACTAGCCTTTATGTTGGCATGTTTGCATCATTCTGACAGAAGTCTTATCCAACTTCTGCCAAAAGTCAGCAAAGTGCTGCAGCTAGCTTTCGCTAACATTTGTTATTCGTTTGCAAAGAATACATAAATAAATGTTTCGAATAAAACAGATGGTGATGTAAGGGTAAGCACAAACTTGAAAGTCTTTTCTTAGATTAGATTTGCTTTAAGATGGCAGCAATTCACTTTGTTCTTGACAAGCCAAGTCAATCCAATCAGAACAAATCTGTCTCTGCAAGCAGAGGTCAAAGAACTACCAACAACAGGTGAGCTATTAATTGTTCATTGAAATCTATTTGAAAAGATCTGAACCATTTACACTAGGAAACACATCCTCAGTGAAACTTCAGTGCATCATTATGTTTTAATTAAAATTATGTTCATTTTCCCATTTAATTCTGTCATTAGTCCTAGTTTGACAGATTATTCCATAAAATACACAATATTTTGTTTAACAGTATCTATTGTGTTTGATTCTAAATATAAATTAGTGAATGGGCAAACAAAATGTGGTCTGACTATTTAAGAGGTGAATTTACTTCCCATTTAGTATGACAGCTACCTTGGCCAGTGTTGGAGCAGCCAGCATTCCCAGTGCTGGACTTGTGACCATGCTCCTGATCCTGACGGCGGTGGGGTTGCCCACACAGGACATCAGCCTCTTGGTTGCTGTCGACTGGCTTCTGTGAGTTCAACATCACCACTGACACTACTATTTAACATGTAGAAATCAATACCCAGGCAGGGTAAAATATATTTTTGGTTGTTTGTACCACAACTAAACATTCAGTCTCATCACCAAATAATCTCAAACAATTTATTGTTTTATTAACAATTGGCCCAGTTCACTGGGAAATGTTTTTTGACTTGTTATTTTTGAAATATGGTTGGTCACTTTGAATGTAAAACGCAGGTTGAACATGAAACGTGGATATAGTCTTCTACCCCTATTTTCTGCCTTAGCTGCCAATAGGAAATACTCAGATTACAAAAGCCTGTCATTTCCACGTCACTTTGAAAATTAGCATTCATGGACTCTCCCAGCTTGGCGTGCAGCAGGGAAGGCTTTTGTTAATTTAGCATCCAGGAGAGAGCAGAGCGCATCACAGCTAGAAGAAACTAACCATTAGCATTAGCAACTCCACAACATGGCATAAAACTCTGATTTGGTCAGCCACAATAATGGCCGGGGCTGCAGAGGTTCCAATGGAGCGTGGATATACCGACATGCAGAGCAAACTCATTTTGCTTCAGTAAATGACGGTCTAGATTTCTAGGCTATCTTTAAATAGCATTTGACCTAAATAAAGGTCAGCATTGGCAGCACAATCAAGACACAGCTCAGCAAATCCAATGTGGGACTGTTTTACTGCTTGACTAAATGTTAAATTATTATTAAGCAATGTAATTGCAACAGAAAGCAGGCCAGACTAATACAAAACTTTTATCACAAAGACTAACAATCTTTATAAAAAATGAGGGACTGTCATTCACTTTTGGAAAACATTTGGTCTGTACTCAACTGAATAGTCAAAACCAGTTCAAGATGTATTGTAGCTTTTTTTCTTTTATCAGTTAGTTTATTTAGTTTTTAAATAAAATTTCTTCCATTAAATCTTGTTAATCTCCTTTTTTTTACCATCGTACAGCGATCGTTTCCGTACCTCAGTCAATGTGGTAGGGGACTCCTATGGAGCAGGTATTGTGTACCACCTTTCCAAGGATGAACTGGACACATTTGATGCCCAACAGTGTCGGATGGATGACTTTGAGATGGCAAAGACACAATCCTTCTTTGAAAACAACACCAACCAGAATGTATATGCTCACCACAACTCAATCTTGATAAACGACTGCAAGGTACATGTCACGTTAACGGACATAGAGACATGTATGTAGAGAACCCCCTCAGAACTGTGCTTGGCTCTTCTTTTTTTGTGTGTGAGTGCATGTCAGTGTTTTTTTTTTCTTTTTATGACTTGTGTATTTGTGTCTTTGTTCATAGTGAAAGTAATATTTTCATTAATGAAAATATTTTTAAATGGTGAAAAAATTAAATAAATATGCATATATTTATTTATTCACCAATACATTTCATGAAAGAGCAGTTTTTGTGATACCAGGTTTAACAAAGTTTGCTGTTTTTGTACAAATAAAAAAAAAGGTCTTATATATCCAACAGATTTTTATTTATTTAATTTTAAGTATTAATCTTTCCTAATGTCATTTATTTTGCATTGTTTTATTTGAGTTGTATTTTGTTGTGGTGTTGTTTTCTCTCTTTTATTTATTTATTTTTTTAATTGGACATGTATTTATGGCAGCCCTGACCAAATTACAGTTTCCAATCATTGGCCACTTTTACAACATTTGTTGCTAGTGGTATGCATAAAGACTGCTAATTCACCACATGGCATCTAAAGAGATGCCATACATATGTGAGATCCCTGTCTGAGATTCTTTTCCTGTAGCTTAATTAAAATACAATCAGAAATGTTGATATTTCACTGCCTTTTAATGAATGAAGAGTATTGTAATTCGGTTGGGGAGAGAATCTATACAATACATGGCCATCTTTGAAGATCTATGCTGAAGTTTTCATGTACACTACGTGGCAAAGACATGTTAACAGAAGGATTTTTGTCAATTGCAATTTTATATGATGGTAAAAAATTGTCGAAAATTTGGGATTTTACATACGAAATTCATTCCTAAGGTCTATGGCCTTGAATGTACCAAATCAATGGCTTCTCTGCCCCAACCAATCAATATTCATAATAAATGGTGCCTTGGCACAAACCTCTATTTTTGATAACTGCTTACAGGTTACTAACGGCAAAAATGGCAAGACTCAAGAGTTTTCTCTTATTGAGGAGGAACCGTGGAACTTTGGGTAAACATGTTCAACACCTTACCCCCTGGGTTTCGCCAGAATTACGTTTCTGTGGAAGTGGCTATACAAACACTAAGAAAATGTACACACAGAAAGTGAACTAATTCAACAGAGGATGGGTACTCTACTGCAAGAACAAACTTTCTGCACGTCTTTGAGAGAAATCTGTTAACCTTCTGAGCGGACACTGAAGGATTTCTTGTATTAGCACCTTGTATTTGGTCATGCATCTGCACAAACTGTTTTGAACTTGTGCATTTCATGCAACTCTGCAAACAAATTAAACAACCACTCTCAGGGCCTTAAATGTGGCTTCCTTCTGTCTTGTCAAGAAAAAACACCAATTTTTATTCTGCATCTCATTTTTCTTGCATCAATTTTTTTTTCTTTTTCTCAGGCTTGAGAATAAAAGCAATACAGGTGTCGGAACAATGACCTTGCCAGTAAAATTTATAACAAGGGTGAGAAAAAAAAATACATTGAACGTTTAAATTCTATAAGGGCTAAAGGTAGGATTTCTGGTATGCTATCTTGTACTTAAACGTTAAACCAAAGGTTAACAAAACTTTAAAAAGGACAAACTGAATGAAACAGTTTAAAGTGCAGGGACCTTTGACTGTGATTTATAGGATTATACCTGGATGTCACACACGTTCAAAGCCTAAGTGGAAAAGCTTAGGACTTAGAGGGAGTGGCTTCTAAAAGTGGCAACGAACAGTACAGAATGTGATGCAGAGGGTAAATCTCAAAACGAGTGCATTAAGGATGCCCTCTTTAATCATTTATTTATCTAGATCTTTGTTGTATGTACGCTCTTTATAAGCAAAGGCACCAAGAGTCTGTATGGCTGTGCTCATGAAATGATCTGTGATCATGTTCCTGGGAGGAATGCAGGATGGAGAAGGCTGGTGGATCAGTGAGATAAATCTAAAAGGCTCGTCTCTGAAAACTCTCAGCAGGCACATGCTTTGTTCTTTCTTTTTTTTTCAAATTGTTTTCTTTTTTTTTTTTGTTGTTTATTTATGACAACCTTGCCTTGAAGATGTCACCTGCAGAGTGCAGTCACAACCATAACTTAAACATTCCTGGATGAACAGTTACTACCCACTTTTGTAGAGGCTTGATTTTACATTTTTTAGCAGGAAAAACCAACAAGGAAACAAAGCAACCCAATTTTTAAACTTCACTACACCGAGGGTGAGGATGGCAGAGCCGTCTCACAAGATATTATTTAGATTTTGCAGAGTTTTCACAGCAGATTTGCATATAAATAACAAGCTGATAATTGCATCCAGAGTTAATTAGCTATGGTCACGTCTGTTTAGCAAGTGCACACAAAAGTCTGCCTCCAGCACTCGCATAAATCTGTCACTGTAACAAAGAGGTCATCGGATGTAGTTTTTACATGTTTTTGAGTGTTACAGTGTAGAAATGGAACAAAATCTAGCACATTTTATATAAGCAACAGCTTATGACCATGTTTAAAGTGCCTGCTTGCACTTTGTGTAAATATATCCACTTTAGCTGAAATGTACAAATTGTATGAATAGATTTGATATTTTTGCCCTCATTTACAAATTTTTTGCTATGTTCGGTGTTTCTATTAACATTATTCCTATATGCACAGTGTTCAACAGTATTAGGGGAATTTGATGTGTTTATTTTTATTTATGGGCTGATAGTTGTTTAAATAGTTTGTTAAAATGTGGTTCAAATGCAACAGGAATGTTAGATAATAGTAATTTATCGTCTTCTGAAGTATTTCCAATGAATAAATTCCAATATATAACTATTTCCAACTGAGAGTCTTGTGACTGACCACTTGAAGATTTGATCTTTTATTGGTTTACAGATACTGAAGGTGGTTTAGATGTGTGAGAACGTGGTTTCCGGCAGCTACAGAATGCCCACCTCATGTGAAGTATTCCAAAAGCTGTCCAGTTTATGAAGATTTGCCATCTTGGCACATAAACAAAAAATAGTTTATTTGCAGGAAAATTAACCATTTACCAATCAAACACACAAACCAATCGTTTCCCTTTGTGCTCTAGTCAACTGGCTTTGTTTAAATATTTTCGACTATGGTCAGAATTAGTAAATTAAACCAATTGTTTATTTTTCTAATAATTTTGATTTTGTTCGCATTAAATTCCTCCAGAAAAATTACTGAACATTTTCTGAGCACCTGTGCAGATCTGTGATGACACGGACAAAAGGCTAACTGAATTGAAAGGACTCGTAATTTGTTTAGTGTGAAACTCTTTATTCACAAAATGGACTTAACAGTGTGTAAGCATTTTAATACCTGTGTGTAAATATTAAATAAAAAACAAATAAATGTTTGCTGATGAGACGCTGTTGTGTTTATTTCCTGTAAAATGTGGGATCCGACGGACGTTCAGTAAGTGCATTTTACATTTCAAGTGCTGTGTGGGTGTCAAGAGGAGCAATTAAGTTAGAGGGTTCAGCGCCGTTCAGTGGTCTGAGCTTACATAAAAAACACAGAAAGCTAAGCAGCTTAATATAAGTTAAAATCCACAACATGTTTTTCTAAATAAAATTATTAAAAACCTTTTGCAGTTATGTTAGAACAGAAGCACACTTCAGAAATGCAATTTCACAAAACTGTAAACAGAAACTAAAACAAACTGAAAGTGTCACTTTCAGTTGAAACAATGGCACAAGAACACCTCATCTGAACATGTTTCTATCTCTAATGAAATTGACATGGAAATAAATATCTAAAACCAAAATATCAGTGTGTCGTCCAGGTAATGGTCTGATTAAAGTTTCACGAAGAAGGCATGAAAAATTCAGACGACAGTAAAGTAAGAACTGTGAAGTTCCACTACAACATGTGTGTACATCAGTCTGTACAGTTTGGTTCCTTGTCAGTTCGACAGTTTTGTAGTTCACAGATGTGTCTGGTGTCTCCAGGGACTCTGTCTCTCAACCTCAGTCTGATGATTAACTCTCAGGGAGCTCGTCCAGAGGGATCACCGCATACTCTGCTTCTCTTCCATTCTCCTTGGGCTCTTCCTTGTACAGGAAGGCCTGCTTCTCTAGCTCCATCTTCTGGTTTGAGGAGTTAGTGTTGATCTCATATGCCTGGTTTGGACCGTTCCACCTGCAGAACAAGAGAGTGTGAAGATTTAATTCATTCAAAGAAGTATAGCCAGAGATATATGTATATGTAATCATTAAGTCTTACTTGTCTCTTGTAGCGATAGCAGCACAGAGGGCCATAAGTGCTGCAAGTCCAACAATGAATCCAAGGATGATGATCCAGTCTAGACATTTGGGAGAACACGGTGCTTAGATGGGATAGCCTTAAACAGGGCTAAATCATCCAGGGTTGAATTTTGTTAAAACATTTTTCTAACTTACCTGGAGTGGTGTGTCGTTTATGGAGATTTTGGCCATTGTCTGCTAAAATAAACAAGAAAATAGGTTTAGATGAATTGTTGCAACAAAGAATCAACCAAAATAATGCAATTCATTATGGATGAATGTTTCCAGTTTGACTAAAATTACCATTAGGGAGCTGAATTTGTGTTGCTTTATTAATACCTCTTGACTGTGGTTTAATTTCACGAAGGTAATTCTGACGATCCATTTTAATAATGTCTTCTGAGAGTGGCATCTGCAATGTTTGAGGGGTTGTTGTTGTTGTTGTTGTTGACTCAGATTCTGCTGTGAATGTTGGGGTTGTAGCTTGTGAAGTACGGAGATCTGAAGGTTTAAGGAGTATACGTAGACCTCGCCCCATAGTTGTAGACTCTGTCTCAGCAACGCCCTCTATCACGTTATCTGTGGGGGTGGGGGCTGTGGTGTATGAAGTCTGTAGACCTCGCCCTGTTGTTGTAGACTCTGTCTCAGCACTGCCCTCTATGATGCTGTCTGTGGGGGTGGGAGTTGGAGTGTGATCTGTAGCTGCAGCATATCCACTTCCTTCCTCGGTCCATGTTGGGAATGTGGTGTCAGCACTTCCCTCTTCCTCTGTGAATGACCAATGAGATGTCTGAATGGTTGTGGTTGATTTAATTTTGGTTGAAGCAAAGTCCACAGGATTTTGTGTTGATGTTGTGGGAGTGTGTGAAACACTGGGATTTGTCGCTGTAAATTGTCCACTCCCCTCCTCGTTCCATGTAGAACGTGTGGAGTCAGCGCTGCCCTCCACCATGGAAGTTGCAAACATGAATACTTGGGAAGATGGAAGATTCCAGTTGACCTCAGGCTTTGTTGTGGAAGTAGAGTTCTGAGCACCTGTATCATTCACAGGTGTAGCTGTGTGAACAGGCTGGTCAACAATGAACCCATCTGTTTGGACCTCTTGGATAATGTCCTTGTCACTCTTGTCGGGGACCTCGATAATTGCTACAACAGAGAGAAAAAAATAAATCCCTGTGGATCAACTAAAGTATTTACCTACTGGCCCTGACACGCAGAAAGGAAAGTCACTTTTGATGTATTACAAGAGAACGTAGTTTACTTGCTTGGCCACTGACTCTTGTGTTAGCTTGTTTTACGCCCTGCTTTGATAAGGTGTGGTGAGAGACAGTAATGATTAACCTGTATGACTAATTTTACAACAGGGAGCAGAGTTTCATCAAAGCATATGTTTCAGTGGATGACATTACTATTACATCAGCAAATGAAGACTGATGAAACTGTTTTTAAGCAGGAAGGAAGGATTTGAAGAAGGATCAGTAGAAGGAAATAACACTATTTCTTCATTTTACTACATTCAGTGTGCGCTTTCTTTAAACTCCACCTCTTGATTGCACAAAACTAATATCACTGAACATTCAACAGCCTCACGTGTGAAACGTGTTTTATTCAAATTTCTCAAACTTTTCATCTTTTAAGAAAATCAAGATATATTTATTCAGTTTTTTGAGCAATAATGAACAGTCAAAATAATAATCCAAATTTATTTTGAGACATTCAGCAAAAATGCTTTAGTTTTCTAAGAGCTGGTGTGGTTGGACACCACACCATGGCCCAATCTCAATACTCGCTCTTCCACCCTTCAACTGCATGTTCCATCCCAGGGGTGCAAGTTCATGGGGTGTCCCAATCCTCAGGTGCAGAAGTTGATCATGCCCCTTTTGCACCCCTTGATCCACACTTTGCACAAGTCTGCTTTTATGCAGACTTGGATGAAGGGTATTACCCACTGTCCACTGCTGCATGGGAATTTTGAGAAGAAGGCAGAAGGCTCCAGTTCTCAAATGCCCTTTCTGAAATGTATTTTCAAATTAAAGAGCTTCATTGTAAGACAATTAATAATATTTATTCATGCTCTGAATGTTTTAAACTAAGATCTTTGGTGCACAGCAATGAATGTAATTTTTGTCAAGAAATTGTGTGTTTGTTTGAAAGTTGTTAATAAAGATTTTTTAAGAAGTAGCACAAATTGCAACCAGCATGCATTGCATTTGTGGACACGATGCTCACTGTCCCAATTTGGCAATTATTTGCACACGTGTATACTACGCACTCGCCGTAGGCCATAGGGCGCAATGCGAGTATTGGGATTAGACCCATCTCTTTGAATCCAGGTCCCCTAGAGCACCCAGCCTGGATATTTTAGAGGTGTTTCAGCAACAAAGCTTGATGTTCTGATGAACACACGATTCAGTCATAAAATTAGGTGTATTAGTGCAAGGGAACAACTAAAACATGGTGCACAGGGATCCTCAAAGACCAACTCATGTCCTCAACTATCATGCAAGTTTTATTTAATTATTTTCTTGCTTCAACACACCTCAGTTAAATTATTTAAACACCATCTTTCCATGCTTAGGGCTGTTAATTACTCATTTATTTAAATTAGGTTTGCTTGATTGCAAAAAACTCAAATGTTGCTGGCTGGTATCCCTCAAGGAGTAGAGTTTGAGACCACTGATTTATGCTATGGTTTATTAGAATGTATAATATTAAGCCAAATTTAGGTTAAAAATGTGTATTATCTTTATTTATATAGTCAGAGAACTCAGCTTTACACTGCAGTGAATCATTCATCCATTCACATGCTGGTGGTGATTAGCTACAATGTAGCCACAGCTGCCACGACCACAGGCTGCTGAAGACCAGTGCCACTTGTACCTCTGACCACCACCAGCAGGCAAGGAGGGTGAATGATCTTGCCCAAGGACACAACAGCTGACACGGACGGCACCTGGATTCAAACTGACAACTCCCCCCCCCCCCCCCCCCCCACCCACCCACCCACCCACCCACCCAGGTTAGAGGGAGATCTCCTAACATCCGAGCCACAGCTTGAGCCTTTCCCAAAGAGAACCTTCACATCAAATCACACTCTTTCATTCTGGATTTCTGCTCAGTCATGTTCAGATCAGGTGTTCCCCCATATGAAGTTACCAGTCACCCAAATTGGTGAAGCTGCTATTTGCTGATCTTTGGTTTCATGATACTCAAGATGAACACATTAATGCACCTCCTGGAGCAGGATGCACTTTGTATTACAAAAGCCCCTGTGTGTTCTCTGGAGGTGTCATTGAGATCTGTGCAAGAGCAATGAAATAGGACTCTGGAGACCTGAAATATAAAGATCACCTTAGGTGGTAAGGGGGGGGGGGGGGGGGGGGGTGTTGCTGACTCATAACGGACAACTAAGGGTAGAATTGGGGGGAAAAAACTGATTTTTTTTGTTTTTCTGACCAATAGTAGGAATAATATAGCCATCTAAAATGTTAATATTTGAACTCCAGAATTTCATTACAAATATTTATTACATTTACCTATTATTCAGGACACTGAGATGACACCGATCTATTTTCCCCAGCATTTAACTCGTGTTGATGTAGATTAAACTATTATAAATTGACAAATTTACTAAATGAATGCATTCATAGATAAATATATTAATAATTAAACAACACTTACGACTAATTGGTGTTGAATGAACAGCAGCAAGAAGTCCAAGAAAAAACAACAAAAGATTATTTGTCATCTTCATAATGTTGGTGGAGCGAAGAACTATCAGCAACCCGGCACTCCCTGACCCACTGAACTGAGAATCTGAAGCAGACGATTCATGCCTTTGCCTTTTATACACAACAGCAGGTAGGTGCCATGTCAGGATGGCGGCTTGCAACACACAGATGCACATGAAGACACACCTGCTGGAACACCTTCCTCCTACTTGCATTTTTTTCTCACGCTTTTTTTCCTTCCTCTGCAAGCGCCGCAGGGAAAATACCACAAGATACACATGAAAAAAAGACTGTTTGGCGGTTTCCTTTAGGTTATGTAAAATTTGTTAACATGGCAACAATTACTGCAATGCTTTCCATAAAGTCATATAAATTCACATACTCACAACTTGTCATAAAACATTATATTGATCAAAGAATAAGACAGCACATATGTATGGTTAGATTGTTGCTTATTTACACTCAGAAATGTCAGTAAAAACAAAACATGTTGAGATTTTTAGTTGCTGTCTGTATGTGTGTTAAACCTATGAAAGGTTTCTAGAAAATGAAATAATAAATATACTGTAATCGACGACAAGTGTAATGTTTTTGTCTAAAAAACACCAAAACCTGTATTTAATTTAACCTTAATTTAACCAGTTGAGTCGATTGAGAACTCATTCTCAATTACAACAACGTTCTGGCCAAGAGGCAGCAGCAACAGACACATAATAAGCTTTACACCAAAGAAAACAGATAAACAAACAAGATCAAAATATAACAAAACAGTTAGACATTAAGATAAAGGACAGTTCACATTTACAATATGTACAAGCAATCAAAACAGACTTAAAACACTCTTTAAGTAATCAGAAGCACATTGATCAGAAACTATTGACTGCAATGAATTATTGAAGGTAGATAATGGAATGTAGGTAGTGAGCTTTAGTGATTTTTGCAGCTCATTCCAGTCGTTGGAAGCAGCAAACTGGAATGAGGGATGACCAAAGGAGGTTCGTGCTTTGGGAATAACCATGGAGATTAAGTAACTAACGTTGCACTGGTCGTTGGAAGTAATGAGTGAAGATATGACAGGGTTCTACCAATGACTGTTTTTGTACATAAATTGATAAACGGACACACACACAGAGCTATACTTTCCTCCTGTTCCCACACTGATCGGCAGCTTCGGACCGGCAGCTCCATGCTACAGACAAAGGTTTACTCAACAGCATCAAGCACGAAAATTAATCGAGCATACGGGTAACCCCCTGCTGGCTCATTCTTCTCGCAGATCAGAGGAGGTAGATGTAATTTCAGCCGGCTAATCTGACCTGTGTGTGAAACCAAATTCCGGCACCATTTGGGGCCGTGCTGACGCTAATGTGTTAGCGCCAAAAGATAGAGGTAGAGGAGCAGATTGATAACCTACTGTTCTCACTGTTATGTATGGCCTAAAATATAACTTCAAAACCATGCCACGGATGCCTGAGAAAGTCCTATATGCTTGAGCCTGCTAAAGATGGTAAATGGCCTGTGTTTGATATAGTGCCTTCTAGAGTCCCCCCCCCCCCCCCCCCCCCCCCCCCCCCCAAGGCACTTTACAACACAGTCATTCACCCATTCACACATTGGTGGGGATGAGCTAGATTTACCCACAGCTGCCCTGGGGCGCACTGACAGAGGTGTTGCTGCTGAACACTGGTGCCACCAGTCCCTCCCACCACCACCAGCAGGCAAGGTGGGTTAAGTGTCTTGCCCAAGGACACAATAGTATCACACTTGAACAGGGCTCAAACCTTCAACATTCAAATTATGCAGCAGACATTTAACTTCTCTACCACTATTGCCAAAGTCAGACCAAATCATAGAAAATGTTTGTTTTATGGGATTATCATGACTTGCCCAAGTCATGCAAAATCGACACGGGACTCAGGAGGTAAGTAAAAATAAAGTATTTTATTTGGAGAACTGGAACTAATGGTGCACTGGAAGTCCAGTGAGTAGGGTGCCATAAGGCGTTAGTCCAGAGTTCACCTCAGTGAGCAACGGGGCAGGTGATGAGCCGAGGTGAGCGAGGGCGGGGGTCCAGCAGAGCGGGGAGGGTGAGGAAGCGGAGAGGAGAGGAGCAGGAGCCGTGGAAGAGGATGGGACGTGGTCCTGAAGATCCGGGCTTCTCGGCGGAGTAGGTGAAGGAGGTAATGGTATTCCTAAACGGTGCAAACAGACAGTGGTTCAGAGGCGCGTCCGAAGTCATAATCCAAGAAAACAGTCCAAGGTCAAAAATCCAATAATCCGAACACAATAAGTCAAAACGAGCGAACAAGTGAATGCGAGAGGCTGGAGCTAACCAAAACTGTAGCAATCATCCAGCGTCGAGTGGTGTCTCCATCCTCCTTTTATACCAGAGCCTCTGATTACGAATGCAGCACAGCTGGTGTCCCCTCCGCTCCTCACCTGTGGAAAGAGAACCTCAAAGATGGTTTAGTGAGGAGGAGCACTCACCTCGGCTCGTGGATCATGACAGGGATACCCGGCTATGTGTGTGCAAGGTCTTATTCAATTCTGGCAAGTGTTTCATTAGATATTCGACCAACAATTAACCTCACCCAACAGTCAATAATACATTTTTAAAAAATGTAAAGGATGTTTCTTGCTCACAAGAAATTATCAGGAAGCACTCAAGGTTTCTGTCTGTGTTCTCTTTTCCCACAAGCAGATTTGATAAGATTATAAACCTGCATGTCAAGCCTGACATATAATCCAGCTAATCCGTTAACATATGATGAGAGATTGTTGGGTTTATCCAATTCAATTAAGCTTTTAATCAAAGTGTGTGAGACATACTTAAACTCTTAAACGTGTAACGTCTCCTCAGTTGACTGAAACATCCTTAAGAAACCAATCAAAATTTTATGCCACACAATAAATTTCAGGCTGTTTTGGAGGCACATGAAACAACACATCCCAATCTCATGACATTTGCTTATTGTTTTATCTCCATGCTAAGGAAAAAGCAGGAACTAAAATTCCCCAATTTTCCGAGGGCTTTGTTCCAAGTTGTTGAAGCATGAGATTTTTGACTTAGCTAGAAAAGTTTTACCATAAACTCAGCTCACTTTCAGACTCATGCAGGTCGTGTGTACTGTATACTTTATAATGGCTGTTGTTGTGTGGTGGTATTTGGAAAACTGATGCGTCACTGAAGAGCTGCAGCCTCAGGCTATCTGGCGCATACATGGAGTTGCATTATGCATCATGATTTACTAAGCATGTGTGGGTGAGCTCCTGTCCAGGCTTGTATTCCACACCCAGGCTCATTGCTCTCTGTCACCGTTAAGAATGGAATTTTACAGAGTCTTGGCAATGATACCCCACGTCATGACAAAGCTGAAAAACGATTCTTGCTTTCATCAGAGTGCAAACATACGTTTTCGGTGGCTAGACACAGTCATTGATTCATTGTCTCGACATTGCTCACAGTAGGCTTTGTCTGAAGAGGTTACAAAGCAGAGTTTACAGAGTTACGCAATGAAAGATGTGAAAGATTTAGCTCCCAATTGTGGAAAAATCCAACCAGTGGTTGTTTATTTATTATGATTTCTAATCAGATGAGCATGGGACATTTCATAGCATTTTCACTTTTTTTAAAGTTCTAAATAAAACTGTGTTTGGTGACAAAAGTCTGGCTTTTATTTTATTTATCAAACTGTGGTAAAGATAATGAAGCTAATCCAAATGTCATTGTTTTTACTGATATTGATGCATCCATCCATCCGTTCTACTATCCATCTATCCATTTTAACTCTCCTCTCAGTTGGACAAACCTGGAAATAATCAAGGGAGGTGTCCAGGAGACATCCTAAAGAAGATGCCCGAGCCACCTCAACTGGCTCCTCTCGATGTGGATGAGCAGCGGATCTACTCCCCTCCCGGAGGACCGAGCTTCACCCCCTATCTCTAAGGGAGAGCCCAGACACCCTGATGAGAAAACTTCTTTTATGAACAAGACCCTGAGATACTTGGAATTTTAGGTTCAAACAAATACGTAATGACTGAATCTTTAGTCTGTCTTGAGTGGTTCCTTGATGTTTGGACTCTAAGCAGCATTTTTCAGTTTTCACTTTTCAAAGCAGTCCTTGATATGAAGCAGCAAACACTTAGCCTCCAGTGTTGTGAGGTTTTCCCATCAAAAATTCATTGCACTAAAGTCTTAAAAAAGTAAAACCCAGATTCTCAAAGGCACGGGCTCCACACAAGCACTTTGGTCAAATGTCTTATAAATGTGGATAATTTGGGGGTAAGTCACATATTTTCCTCATGTCAGACCACCTTACTTCAGCTCAATATTAGTTGTTGACGGCAGAAAAGACAGTTTTCTTTGTTCTCGTATGATAAAGTTACAAATAGCTAAACAATTAAAACATTTTCCAAGGGCATGTCCACCGACCATTCCAGACCAATTTATACCCATGCTTTCTTTTTCTCAGCTCAATTGTTTTCTAATTTTTCATAGAAGCCGTTGTTTTTCCAGTGACTAAAATGATGAGGAAACTAAGCCCGGTAACCTCTGAACAGCAGCCTTCACATTTGTGAGGAAACCATTAGGGGTCTGGTCAGTCAATGGCCTTCTTTCAAAAAGCCAATAAAGGAAGCAAATACACATTCTCTGTAAATAATCATAAGTATTTTACTTGATCACAGTTTTATAAGAAAGAAAGTGGGTAAATTGTACTTTCAAGACATTTTGCTGATTGATATGATTTCTATTGCTAGGTCAGAATTGCAATGGCCTGTAAAAATCAAAGATTTGTCACAACAAATATAAATATAGGGTTTTTTGGATAAATAACACATTTTACTCTGTTTTTGAGAGCTCTTGAGAGTTTCAAATTAAAACAACTTGACCTATGTTTACTTGAAGATGTGTTGCCCCTCATCCAAGAGCCTTCTTCAGTTTTAAACTTGGATTGGTAGTAGGAGGCAGCTAGTTGACTGATCAGGTCACGCCTCACTGTCTGACAGGAAAGACGAGCAAACATGTTTATGTGGAGAGCAGATGTAGTAAACCCACTCACACATATATGTGTGGAACAAGAATGTGTGTGAACAGTTACAAGAATCAGGAACTGAGATTTGTTTAATTTAGCATTTTTTAAACTGATCCCTGATTTGTCCAAACTGGTCAATTCTCCTAGAAAACAGATCACCATGAGAGGTGTACAGAGAATTTATGACATGCTGGCTTTTCTATTTTTATTGGTTTTATATGAAACATGACATGTCCCTGAAGTGGTAGATTTTTTAAAATCTCTGCTCGTGAGATTAAACGAGTTACCAAAGTGTACTGACTTTATTAAAATTCCGAGATTCTTAAAACTAAAAAAGTCTCGTCAATCTGCGAGTGTCCTGGAGAGTTTTTTAGTTCTTGGTGAAAGAAGAAACTCCAATAACAGAAGACCATAAAATGTCAGAATTTTCAAAAGGCAGTTAAATTGTCATTATCTGGTAGGTCATACAGTTTCAACTGTAATAGTCTGGAAAATCTTACTGAAGGCTAATGAAGGTTATCATTTTTCCAGGTCATTGTGATGATATAGCAGGCTCTGAAACAAGTCAACTCAACTCATTTACTTGTTTCAAATTGGTTTTCTTGTCACCAGAGGAAAATTGCAGCATTTTAATGTTTTAGGATCTTTGTTAATATAAGCCAACGTGATCGTTCACCTCCACTCCTCAAGTGCCACTATCCCCACTCCAACACAGCCAACTGAAAGAGTTATGAGGATGTAGCCCTCTGGAGGCAGGCATTGCAGATTTGCAACATTATGTTACGCTTTACCTTCTTCAGGGAGGGGATACCAGGGAGACAAGGAACTTGTGTAAAGAAAACAAATTTATTAAAACATTAGAAGATAACACAAAACCAAGGGCTGGAAATCCTAACAGCAATAAAACTAACACAGCCCATGACACTCTGCTTCCAGAGAGTCCAGTGTTAATACAAAATAAATCAAGAGGCTAAGGCTCATTTCTTTTAACTGGCAGCAACATAAGAAAACCTATCAGACCTAAGTATCCAACAGGATGGTACAAAAGAAAGAAAGATGTGGGATGGATTAACTAAAAGACTCAGGGTTATTTCCAAAACCTAAAGAGGCTTTCACCTTCTACATAATAATACAGCAACTTAACCACAGAAGACTCTCACACTCAAAACAGTGGCCACTGTGGTCCTTTTACTATGAGTAATTACCGAACCTAAAGAGAGACTTATTAAAAGCTAAGGTATTATTTTCTTTCAAGATGTTCAAAATTCTAAACCCTGAAACCAGCCCAAAAGGAGTCTACTTGGGCCCTGTCCACACGTAGCCGGGGATCTGCCAAAACGTAGATATTTTTCTACGTTTTGGCCTGTCATCCACACGAAAACGGAGTTTTTTCACACGAAAACGGATCTTTTTGAAAACTCCGGCCAATGTGAAGATCTGCGTTTTTCCCGTTTTGGGTGTCTGCGTGTGGACAGACAAAACCGGAGTTTTAAGGTCCGCAGCGTTACTTTCCGCGACAAAAAATGCTGACATCACGTGTGCGACCTGTGTTTACACTAGCCGACAGCATGGATGGCCTCAGAGCTGCACTCGCTTTATCAATTGTCCAAGCGCTTTTTGCTTGTTTGTTTTTTGCAAGCGGAATTACTGCTCCTTGCGGAAGACCACAGAAGAAGGACGAGGTTAAGAACGGGGAAGTACTGCCGCCTACAGGTCTGGCATGTCCTTAACAACGTATTTATCCGGGTACGCGTGGACAGAGTTTTCCTTTAAAATGAGGTGGTGTGGATGCAAGTTTTTGGAGGGGCGGATATTCGTTTTAAAAAAAAAAACGGCTACGTGTGGACTAGGCCTGAGTTACAAGTAGCTCCCAGAGTGAAAGTTCCTCCAGCCTTTTATCCTTTACAGATTCAGGGAAAACGATTAGTCCAATTGCTTCCACCTGGAGAACCGCGGAGGGATCCACTAGTGATGAGGCTGCTGGTGCTCATTGTGGTTTCCATGGATACTGGACAACAGCATCTTGTGTCAGGGTCCGGTGTTTCACTCCAAAAGAAAACAAAACAATGGGCAGAAAACTACCAAAAAAGGGGGGCAAAACACTGACTAAACAGTTATCATAATAATACGACCAACCATGGTAAAACCCAGGGGTCGTACCACGTTTAAAACCTACCCACCTACCTGGTTACTCCACAAACGTATT